TCTCACTCTCTCCTATATATATATATATGTTCTCTTCACCTTCGCATTTCTTCCTTGGCAAGGAAAACAAATGAGGGGGAGATGGCTTAGATGGTGAAGGATATTTCTATTAAATATATTAAAAACATTATTCAATGCCAAGCATCACGATGCCACAAATCACAACGTTGCTGCAGTGCATGTTGAATCTAGAATTATCGTAGAACAGAGATTTCAACGCCGCGAAGGTACTTTCCCGACACCGTTGCGCTCGCAAGCACAACACCGCAGCTCAAAATTTCATATTTTCAAATAAATTTATCTTATGAAATTTAGGGTTGTTATAGATCAGCCCCTCGACCTATAAATGAGTAAAAGTCAATTTCAAAAGCTACTATTTGGTGCACATGAACCATTTTCACCTCAATCTACTCAATAAATACTAAAAAGGAGCAACACAGTTGCTAATCACATGTCCTAGGCATATTACAATTTGAAACCCTATGATCTTGGCGAGATGTATCCATTAGTATATCAGAGATGACAAAACCATGGATCATGATCAAGTGTATCTCCATCCCCCAAAAGATTTCCTGGAAATTCAATTCAAGCCTAAACATTATTTTTAGCTTAAAATTAAGCATAAACAACCTCCTTAATCAAGAGTGCTCTCGCATAAACGAGAGAAGTAATTAATTATGGAGATATATGCCTTTAAAAAGTCTATTTCCCAAATCTAAACAACCTCTAACCTAATATTAGGGGAACTATGGTTAAAATAAAGCTAATATATCTCAAGATAAACTACCCCCGAGTCCCCTCATTTACACATCGAGGAGGCATCAAGGGTTGGGGTGACTTAGCCCATCACAACTAAATCCTATCGACATGAATGAACTTTGGACCACCTTACTTGTAGTATGATGTTCTTATTAAGCAAATTCCAATACATGAGTTGTAAGTCCCTAATTTAGAGTATTAATGGGACTAAAAATATTTTTTTTTTAAAATAAAATTAATTTGCTTAAATTAGCAGGTTGCGCACATCAAAGGATCTTTCGAAGACTATTAATGGGATCAATTCGCTCTCCCAAATCTCCTCGCCGTTGATTCGCTCCGGTCGAGTCGAGCCAATTCCTTACCTCCCGGCACCGGGGAGGGGACGCCGGAAGGTTGCCAAAATTTTAAATGAACAAAAGATCCCTCAAATTAATTTTAAATAAAGTTTTGATATATTTACATAATTTATATTTAAATTGATAAATCAAAACATCCTTTTATTGCCCATTGAAGATATACTACAACACAATATTCAATCCAAATGAGATAAAACTTCAAGAGCAAAACACTTCTAAGGCTTCTAAGGATCAAAGTATTTTATTGATTTAGGAAGTCGAAAACTATACTATGATGTTATATGTATGACTTCCAATTTCAAGCCTTCAAGTAAGAGTATAGAGCTTGTCATTTTGAGGAGAAAGAGTTCAATTCATCAAAATATAAGATGGTTAGAGCTTCAAACTATTTCCTTCAACCCAAAGAAAAAGTATAATATACTACAATTCACCTATGAGAAGAATAGGGAATTCGTAGTCCCCACAACAACTAATTTGCAAGCAAGGACAAAGAGTTTCTATCAAATAAACTAGTCTATTTATGGGAGAGGATAGGAGAACTTATAACAAGCAAGATAATTCTCCTACGAATGAGCATGATCTCGTAATGTTTATTGAATAATCATTCTCTGTAAACTATATTGAGTGGGATAATAACGACAGAAGGATATCTTCTATGTGTTACAAATGAAACCTAATTTAGAGTATGCCACCGGATCCGCAACATGTATACTAGCGGACATAAGGCGTTCGTAAGCCCTTAAACAAAATATCGGGCATTTTTCTAAATGAAATCATTCTTACATAATGAATCATATTTAAATATTTTAAAATGCCCTTTATGTATTAAATATGATCTTTTAAACTAATTAAATCCCTGCATGTGCTCCGGTCAATGCATTAAAGTTACAGACATCAATGACCGAGAATGCTGCGCAGGGTCAGATACTACAACCCGCATGTGCTCCAATCGCACATCTAAGTCACAAATCCAACGATTCGAGAATGTTGCGCGGGTCTATATTCAAGTTTCATCCTCCTCCTCAAAAGGACTGGAGTCGACATGACTTGAAGTATAAAAAACCTCCCAAAATCCTTACAAAAATAAAAGTGGCCTCAATATCACCCCGATGATGGCCGTGTTGATCGAAAATCTCAACCGGAGGGGTCAAATCTCAAATCAAATAACAAATCTAAATTCTTAAAATAAAATCAATCACCTAAAAACTCAAAACTAAAAATCATCCGCCTCCCGCAATTGTTTATCGGGGGTGATAAATTTAAAATTAACCTCAGCTCACAAAGAGCAAATGCATGTCGGGTGTATCACTACGATTCATCCTCAAATAGTCTCTTGCCAACAGGGACGTGGCACGTGCCCTCTGATCGAGTGGTTTCGCAGCAAAATGGCACCATTATATTACGATCACGGCCAAAGCCCGTATGTTCCCTAAAGGCGTCAAACCCTTGAGTTATGAATCATAGGGTATATTTGATAGGCATAAAGCCCTTTGTTAGCTAAGGTGGATTCAGATATATCCCCTTAGATAAACACCAACCCAGGTCTACAAGGTATTCTTGGACGAAGCAACCCATGGCTGCCGACAAGGTGCCTTCTGTCAGATTGGATCGACTACCTCCTCTGACTAAGTAGACCAGGGATCATGACAGCCCGGGATGACGGAACCATGGGATCTTGATCGGGCTCGTCTTCATTCCCCCCACCATCAGTTTTAAGTTTGTGGTGATAAACTCTAAATTTCAAATCATCCAAATTCAAAATTTAAACCCTAAAATTATTGCTATTATACAATAAGTTCATAACCTATGTGACATCCTTAACGACTAGCCTTAATCGAAAGTTCTCTCTTGTTATCAGGAGGGGTAATTAACTATAGGGGCTTGCGTCTATAGGAAACCAGAACTCAGATCAAAAAGTCCTCACCAAATGAGGGCGAAATCTCTGGGTAGTGTCTTATCTAAAACCCAATCTGCCTTCTGAAAATTCCCCCGGAACCTAATCTCGTTGAAATTCTCTATCATCGTCGTCACACAAACATTTTAAAAGATAAATAGACCGATGGCGCAGAGAGGCCGGGATCACACATATAAAATGGGAATTTTCGGAGCCCACACTCAACTCCAATGCTAGTGAACCTCCCAATTTAACCCAATTAACCGGGTCAAGACAGAGCTAACAAGTCTATTAAATCAAAAGCTCACATAGGTCATCCTCATCTTCAGGTTTGTAAGTACCACCTTTGGGCCTTGCCAAAGATATATATAATTCCCAACCCTATTAACCAGGAAAGCTCCTATACTTGTAAGCCTCTCAAATCACCCCATTTAATCTGGGACTGTATAAATCATCAAGCCCATAAAATTAAAATAAGCATGCACTAATGATGTTATAAGATCATCAAAATGTCAATAATAAACATGGGTCGACTTCATGCTAGCAAGCCCACCAATCAAATTAGGGCCAATTTTCATGTTAATAAGCCCTAAACAATTTCAAACAAAGCTCACATGCTTTCAAAACCTAAATCAACACCCCATATGGTAGTTATACATTAATAAGTGTAGCCAGATCAATCTCTGAGCAGTCTCATACTTTACACCGCAACTTTCAAGATAGACCTTCCTCCAAAATGCAACCCCCGCCTTCCAAAAACAACCAAATTAGCTCAAAGTAGATAAGTCTACTAATTCTTAAATCAATCTACTTAGGTGAACCCAATTAGACTGATTTGAGGCCATCAAGAACCTCAAATTGAACTAGCTCAAAGTCAATAAGTCTGCTAATCATTAAATTGATCTATACTTAGGTGAACGCAAATGTCACAGTAGTAGTCTTTATAAATTTTATGTCAGTGGCATCTCTACAAGATGAACCCAATTTCAACCCAGAACTTAGAATTAAATTAGGATTCTCTACTCAAGGGAACTCTTGGATATCAAATATTATCTTCTAACACATATCTGTTAATCTCGGCATTCCGCACCAAGGGATCAACCTTTGAAGGTTACCGTTAAGTCAATACGGCATCCTCACAGAGTAAACCAAGGTTTGTTCTCATAAAACTGAATTGCCAGTTTGGAGAGTAACTAATTGTATTTAGTTTCTTTTTCCAGTGCATCCCTTCCACAACTGCATCAACGGCTCACTCCATAATTGTGAAGGTATGCCATCAGGAAGAAAGTTGGTCACACCAAGCCCTCCATTCCAATAAACAGAAATTAAAGGCTAGCTGGCATTTTATATAGTTTTCCAAATGAGGATCACATCCCTCCCCAGCCATGTCCCTTCCCCAGATCCTAGGGAAAATCAGCAAAAACAGAACAGAAGGGTAATGTGGCCTGGCATGGGAGACAAAACGGATGATACAAGAACATATTCATCTCATTTGTTTAAATTTTGGGAGTTGATCATGGTTCTGCATAGCTCGGTTCTAGAATGGAATGCAGAGGTAAACCACAGCTATGAAATGAAAAGCAAATCGACTGAAATTAGCATCACTAGTCATAGTTGAAAATATTAAACCTTGCGACGCTTAATTCTACTTATAAGATAACTTGGATGCATTTTTCTGAAGCAAACATATTCTAGCTTATATCAACTGTATAGGGATAGACTTCCAAGTAGTTTTGCATTTTATTTGTAGAGCTTCATTTAGCGTTAAATCCACTTTGACTAAATATCTAAAAACATCTAAACGTGCTAATTTAGGAATTCATGTTAGCTGTAGCTTTTTAACATATTGGTGCGTCCACAGATATTATTATGTTAGTCAAGTTATCCATATGGGATGTCGCCTATCTAATTTGTCCATTGCAAACTACATCTGCGAATGAACAAGAAAATCATGTAATATTATCTCAATGATCTGCGCAAAGGAAAGTTACCTTAACAATATCTGAGCAAGTGTAGCTATACATTTCCTTAACCTTCCGAGCAACTTCAAAAGAGTCTTCGGGAGGTAAATTTTCTCCCCTTTCCTGTATAAAATATGCAACAAATTTGGTGAATTGTCATGTGCAGAACATGTGGATAATTATATTTTCAGTAGTAGAAAATGGGTTCAAAACAAGAGTCCCTAAAAACACGTTTATTCAATTAAACAAGACATTCTAGGAAGACACTCAATTTTCAATGCCAAGTAATTTGTTCATCTCATGCAATGTTTTCAATGATTGAGCACCAATGAGAATTACAGGCCTACGAGCAATTCCAAAAAAGCACATTACTTGCCCTGACAGCTCTCCAGACAACCCTTTTCCTGACAAAATCATCTCAATAAAGCTCGGAACAGTGCCGTTCAAATGCTTGTCCAGTTAGAGATTTTCCAGATGTCCACTTACAAGGCAGTCATTGATACTATTTTCACAATTTAATGGAACCATGAAGACAGATTATATCAGTTGTCATGATTTTTTATCCTATTGCCAATGATCAAGGTACATTAGCAAGAATATTAATTAACAATTGTTTAATAAACGCATCCTCGATAACTCTAAATGCATGTATTTACTAAGGGTGTCAATATTTGACACAACACGAAAACCCGACCCGGAAAATCCGGGTTGGACCCGACCCGTTTGAAAAACGAGTCGGGTTCGGGTTCGCAGATTCGACCCGTTTGAAAAAACGGCGTCGAACTCCAGCGTGTCGCGCTCGCTGCCGATCCCTAAACGCTGCCGGGTCATGGGTCGGGTCAACCCGGCCAGGTCGGGTTCGGGTTGAAATGTCCGACCCGTTTGCAAAAACTGTTCGGGTTCGGGTTGACCCGTTTAGATCCGGGTCAACTCAGGTTCGACCCGAACCCAACCAGTCGACCCGAATTGAAACCCCAAGTATTTACAAAATCTCAAAAACAAAACTCCAAAATTATATTATAGCTCAATACTAATCACTAGTTAATACCAGGTTTAAACAAAGATAAAAGCAATAGTACCTTCATAAGCTTCTGTATAAACAGAGTAACATCCTTGCCAGAAATAGGAATGGATTTGATGCTATTTCCAATCACATAACCTTCAGCAACTGGAACAACATGAGTAGCCCCATCCCCAACATCAACTACAACCCCTGTCATCTCACACTGGGAGAAAACTAACCAAAATGAGATAACACAGTCACATTTATCTGGAATTGAGAAAATAATTTTTTAAATATATAAGAATGCATAATAATAAGTGCATTAATACCATTAAACAGTGCTGCCAGTCAGACAAATAAAAAAACTCAGCAACAACAGAGAATGATCCACAGGATGAAAGCCATGGTGGGGAATTAGTCTGTTTCCCTAAGAAATAAAGCACAAAAGAAGTTGCCCTCCAAAAGAACCGATAATTCTCTTTATAAAATTGTTCCAATAAACTTTTAATAATCAAGAATATTAGAAAAGACGAGGCTCTAAAACAAAGGTATGAAAGAAAAAAAGGATAAAGGTGATTGCTTCAATACAAAGAAATGCATAAAGATAATTTTTTTAAAAGAAAGAAAGAAAGGAATAATTTATTAGAGTTCTGAAGAAGAAAATGAAAAACATTAAGACTAATATCAAACTGAATTAGAATTCTCGGTTGAAGGTTGCTATTGGAAATCCCTTTATGTTAATAGTCATCCGGAATTAGAATATAATTCAGTCACACAAACATTCTCCGGGGGGGAGGGAGAAGATCACTTCACTCACACAAACATTCTCAAATAACAAAAGTACAAGAATGAATGGGTCGACAGTTCAACATTGTTACTGTAGTGCAACCAATGACATGAGAAAAAAAAAAAGATAAGAACTAATTGAACTTTTCATCATCATGAAATAAAAAAAGTTTGCAGTTTCTCATCAAAGTTAAAGTATCGTTGTTTTATCTAGAAATGGACCAAGTAATTTTGGTAAAAAAGGTTGTGAAATCATGAATCACAGTCACAAAGCCATCATCCAATACAAGTGAATATAGTGAAGTATGATAGGCAGCAGAATTGTTGGAATATAGGAATTTATATGAGAAAAGGCCAGGAAAAGTAAAGATACATGGCGAATCATAGAGTTGTAGGTATTGACATTTCAAAAATCTTACTGTCAAACCCTCAAGGCAAGGTGTTAAATCCTCAAGGCAACAAGAAGAATTCAATCCTCAAGCATCAACAGGGAAGGAAATCTCATAACGGCATAACTCAAAATATTTTATGCATCACCACCTAAAGTGTTGAACTCTTGAGCCCATGCGACTCATATAAGCTTATTGATTAAATAATAACAAATCTTGTGTGATATCATCTAATGATTTGCTATTTGTTTTCTTTCAAAGTATTTATATTCTGGCAACTATGAAAATGATGATGTATTTCCGCTAAGCAAGTTGGAGGAGAGCCCAAAAGTATAAGTCAAGAAAACTCTAGCGAAGATCTCAAGCTCTAAGGGTAATTAGCTTAGTGCGTTAGTTGATTTAGTTTTAAAATAACTGATTGAATCTGGTTTACCAAATAGTTTTAAAAATGATTATTGAAGAACAAAGCTAAAATTTTACTAGATATACTCCAAAATTATTTTTGAACATACCAAAATTTATCATATAATTTTTTAAAATCTAATTGGGCAAATTTTCTATTTATTTGCATTATTTCATATTTTTTTGTATCTAAGAAACTTAAAATTACCTTAATTATTATTTTATTTTGTGATAATATGCTTCACTGGCACATCATTATGAAATTGATCACATATTCATATAAGTTTAATTAAACCTAAACTTTCTACTACATACATTAAATTAACATTTATGCTTAACAGTGATAATTATATCTTTAGTTTTTAAATTAAAAATAAGCTTTTATAATATCACCAGTATTCCTTAATTGAGACATTCATCAAACAAAATCCATTATTTTGAAAGTTAGGTAATATCTCATCTTTCAATTTCATAGGTCCTTATAAAATGAATTTAAATTGTATATCTTCAATCTTTCTTATGGAGATTGAATTGCATTACATTTTAGGGTGACGGCTATTAAATCACCTCCAACATTCACGAGAACTTTGGTCAATTATTATTGTAAACCTATGCAGTGTGCCAAGCAAAACAAGATCGAGCTTTGCAAAGCTTTGGCACGTTTACCGGATCAAGCCTGGCTACTCTTGCCTTTAATGAAGATGGTGTAAAAGTTCTTTCAATACTTGAAAAGTGAAAAAGTGAACTTAGAGTTACAAGTTTGGTTAGTGAAAATCTAAGTTACTGAAGAGCTAAAGCGTGGATATAAGCTAGATTCTGTGTTTATTCGAAGGTGATTATAAAACTTTTGGCAAAGAGAATAATCAAGTCAAGTGTTATTTTTCAACAAACCTTCGAAGTGGTGTATCCAGCAGCAAGTGCAAGAACAGGCTGGACTGCTATATATAGTCCAGGGACATTAAATGTCTCAAACATTATCTCTCCTGTATATTCACGACTTTCAGGGGCTGTAAGTGGACTTTCAGTGAGAAGAAAATAATGATCCTCAGGGTCACACCGCAGGTAATTAAAAATACATTGTTGCCAAAATCTTTCCATTGTATCCCAATTCTCCACCTGCAGATTGAGAGAAATAAAAATATGGAGATGGATCATAACACAATGTAGATATTAATAATCATCATGATACCTGACCCTCATGAATAGGATAACTTAGACTGTAAGTACTGCTTGAGCGTGACCGAGATAAAGCTTCCTCTCCAATGAAAAAATCAAGATCAGCCATTACGCCTGCACTGTATTGTGCTAGCCAATTTGCCTTATTAGAACTCCTTGACTGATTAAGAAAAGATTCATTAACGGCAACTACAGTAGGGACGATGAAGCAGGGCTCAACATTTCCAGAAAATCCCATTTTGGTGTACCTAAAATATAAGATATTAGTAGAAGTCAGCAACACAGAAACAGAAATTTGTACTTACAGAACAATTGGCAAAATGATACTTCTCAAATTTCAATGTCCTTTAATGCCAGCAGAAGAATGGCATCTGTAAGTTCCAATCAAAAGATTTGTGCTAATTTCATATGCGCAGCCCTAGGCAGTACAAGAAGATTATTCCTGCAATTTCTAATATTTTAGATTAGATTTAGATTTTCTTTCAGTTTTTTTCATTTTTATTTAATAGGATTATTTCTTTTAATTAAAAGGCAGGAATGCAGGATTATTAGGAATTACCTCAATCTGAATCAGATTTGATTTTAAATGAATGGACTGACCTTTATGACCCTATTCCAGTAAATAGCGTTTATGACTAGTAACAGAAATAATATTGTAAGATTGAAGAAATTGATAAGACTTCCTACCCCATTATTCTCACTTCTCTCTCTCTACCTCTCCCGATTTCCCTTCTCTGGATTTTTAAACTCCATATTTCTTTCACAGTATCCCTTATATATTGCAAGATATTGGCAGACTTTCGCTACTTATCCTCACATAGGCAACCTTTCATGAATTGCAAAAGCCCCAACACCTCCGCCTATATACAGTAAGCAGTAACTCCCATAGATTCTTATTAGAAAAGTGAATTCCTCCCAACCGCAGGTAAACGCAAATACCAATTCCTCTCCGCTCAAGAGAATTATTTCTCCACTTATAGAACTAGTCCACCAAATTGTATCTCTACAACAGTTAACTCCATTGATTCCCACCGCTAAATTAATCTAGTATCAAAGCCAAATTTCCTAGTAGTAATTGCATCAAAATCCTAGCACGAAGACATGAATTTCTTCCATCTATTATCACAACATTGTTAAAGATTATGAAGTTAAGAAAATTGATGTGTAAGATGTGTCGCTTAAGCTTTGGAGAGATATTATAAAGTATAAACACAAAACTAACTTATAGAGTTATAAAAAAATTCACATTATTTACTTAGAATCGCTGTTTCATGAAACATATAAGCATATACGGACAGAAAATTCATATTTGTGTAATCTAAATATGGCTACTGAATGACCACAATATTAACAGAAGGTTCTACATGAAACATATGAATCATTCAATTATCTCATATATGGCTCTTACGATGATGCATATGATCAAAATTGTTATTCTCATCAACCTTTCAACTATAAAGTATAGTGAATCTAATGAAGATCTTATGATGATTATGCATTTAAAATTCCCAATCATTCCAATCCAAAATAATCTTATGACAATTATAGAGCATATTATATAAAAATATCTCAAACTTCGAGGATTCAAACGTTCGGGCAATTTTGTCACATCTGTAGGTTCAAAAACTCGATCTTTTTTACGAGTTCATGTAATGAAGATTATTATTGTGATTATGATATGGACCTACAAATAAACTTGATGATAATGATTAGTCACCAATAATTAAACCTCCTACTAAACCTAATCAAGAATCACAAAAAAAAAACCTTTATACATCTCTTATTGCAACATCAATCTACTGGCCCTAAGTGCTATAATGCTACAGCATAGCACCAAAGCAAGCTAATATATCCGATCATCTCTATTCATCTCCACCTACATTCATCTTTTTTGGGGCTTTGAAAGCTCACCACCTCTGAAATATAGAGTGGGTTAGGGGCTGAATTTTTAGAGAGCAAATTAATTAATTAATAAATCACTACCCATAGATTATATCCTTATTTGAAGACTTCATATTTCTAATTTGAAGCTTCCTATAGTGCTACCCCCATGTTTAAAATTCCCTTTGACTTGCAATAAAAATCTTCTAATTAAACTGATTGCCAAGCTCTATGAAAATTCATTGCAAACTTTATCATCCGATTTGACCTGTTGTAATTGTCGATAGAGCAATATCCTGCTCATAGGCGCAAAGCAGATCATAGAAGAAATGAAGACAAAATAAATCAATATCTCATAATTTCTTCATCTTAGGTTTGTCCACTTACCTTGCTCCATATAGTTAGAGGATGGTGCTTCGTCAATGTTTAACCTATAATACCCTATATTTAAATAAAGAAGATTAAAAGTTTTGCAAGATTGGTTGATTCAATTGAGCCGACTCGACAAACTGCTCCCCAGCATCCTTATATAAAGCGATTGGCTAGTCCTAATAAACTAGGATGGGACTAGTTAAGTGTGAGCATGTGAGTGATAGCAAGAGGGAGAAAATGAAAGTTACAAACTAAGAGGAGGCATGCAAGTGGCATAAGAGAGAAACAGAGAGTGAGAGGAGTAGCGCACAAGCGCAAGAAAGAACGAAAGAGAAAGGAAGTGAGGAAGAGTTAGACACTTAGACATGGAGCACGCGATTAGGTGAACAACCAATAGATCAAAAAGGTTGTCAATTTTTAACAACCCCTAGGCATGGAAATAAGAAGAGAAAATTTTAATATGCTAGATTATCTTTTCTTCCTTTTTTATAATCCTTCTTACGTCCTTTCTTGTCTTTCTCAAGCTATTTTAGAGGTCATTAGCCTCATGTTCTTTAATAATAAAACTTGCAAGAGCATGTGCTTATTTCCAACCAACCATTCCTCCACTTCTACTATTAGGATTGAAAATAAAAACTCAAATAGGAAAAAAAAAAAGGAGAACTTAAAACCTATGTAATATACTTTGACCAATTAATCAATCTAATCAGTGTGTTAATCATGCTTATAAGTATATAATGTCAATAAATTATATAATTTGCAGGTTTTTTTTTGGATTTCATGCTTAAATAAGGGTGATTAAGATGGATAGATAGTAATATTGGATTAACTCTACTATTTAAATTGGGTGAACTTTATAAAAAGATCCAATTAAGAAAAATAAAACTTTGATCCCCAAATTAGACATGGAGTTAAGAATCTGATTTCATATTAGTTTCTTCTGCTTAAGATTATTTTAATAAATTAATTATTATTAATAGAGATATTTAAACATAATTATTAAATATTTCTTATAAGAAATCCTCAATTATTATTAATTATAAGAACATTCTTGATTATTTATTATGATTATGTAGTATTTATTCTACTACGTACTACATGTATATTTAACAATTCTCTTGAATCCAGCGTGTGTGGAGCACCAAGATTTGGCATGGGAATAGCTCGAAGTCAAAATCAATTTGTCAGAACACTTTTAGTCTAGGTCATATGGGTTTTTCTTACTCAGTGAGAGATAGATCTACTCTTCTTTACTAGAAGAGTTCCATTGATATTTATGTAAGCTACAATTATAAATCATATATGTAGATCAAAGTGTAATTTATTACTGGATAATATTTCTGATCTTTGGCATGACTGTGATTAGCATCAATTGATAATATTCATTACTATGCCTTAATTTTGTTGGCTGCATTATTATTTATATTGGTGTGTAGACTAAATTTGCATGTTTGTGAGATCACTATGATGTAATTGAATTTATTAGCTAAACAAATTTAAATTATGATAATGGATAAGACACTTGGATATTCGTGCATCATTAAGGGAAGAATTTTTAGATTTGTGCTTTGGGATGATTAATATTATATAGTGAATATTATTTAGCTATTAATTTGATTAAATCATGATTTTAGGAATTTTATTAGAGGAATGTTAATATAGTTACTTCTGAGTTAGTTTGATAGATAAATTGTTAGATGTAATTGGATTTAAATACTTTGATCGTTGTTTTAGTGGATAAATATTATTATTGTCAAGTTTGTTTTTTTGAATTAATATTAAATTTACTAATTCACTCAATCCTATTGAGTAGCCATCAAAATCTTCCAAGCCTAGTAGATGGGCTAATGGGCAATCAAAAATGGAATTAAAGCCAAAGTTTCGATCTATTAGGCTTAGGCTTACTAGCGAGATTTCTCAGGATACAACAACAACATCAATAACAACAAGCTTTTATCTTATCACTTGGGGTCGGCTACATGAATCTTTTTTCTTCATTGTGTCCTAATAAAAGTCAAATTATCATTTTAATCTAATAAAAAAATATCATTTTTAATACTTTCTAACAAAGTCTTTTTAAGTCAATCTACATCTTTCTTAACATAGGGCGCATCTAATACATCTACTCTCCTAAAAGGATCATCAGAGGCAAATGTTTTTAATGACCAAACCAATATAAGGCAGCTCTGTCTAATCTTATCTGCCACTGGAGCTACTCCAACTTTTTCATGTATATATTTGTTTCTAAATCTATCATAAGTGCAAAGCAGCTCATTCATCTGAGCATCCTAATCTCTGCAACACTAAACTTAATTTTATGTTTCTCTTTTAATAGCCAACATTATGTGTCATAAATTATTGCAGGTCTCACCACCATGTTATAAAATTTTCCCTTAAGTTGAGTACTTTTTTATCATACAATGGGCTCGATGCATTCCTCCACTTCAACCATCAACCATGCAACTTGAATTATACTAATAATATCATCATCTATTTCACTATCACTTTGAAAAATAGACCATAGATGTCTAAAATATGTACCCTTTTTAATGACTTGATCACCCAATGTCCCAATCCCACCATTAGATCTACACCTACTAAAATTACACTTTCTGTATTAGATTTTAGATGAAGTCGGACAAAAAGCTTTAGACTCTAAAGTTGACCTCCATAATTCAAGTTTTCCATCAACTCCCTCTCTAATCTTCTCAACAAGAAGAATATTATAAGCAAAAAGCATACACTGAGATATATCGCAAATGTCTAGTAAGAACAACCATGACTAAAATGTTAAGTTAAAAAATTGTTACATCTTATACCATAATTTGTGGATGAAAATGATTCTTAAGTTGTTTTTTCATGCAGTAACCCCTCTAGAAAGAGGCTAATTTTTAGAGGAAAAAGTTGTAGTGTGCGGCACCACACATGGCAGCGCCATAGCATTCAGTATTAAAATTCAGGGCTAAATAGAGAACTAAGCATTGCGACGAACGATCTACTAGCATAGCATGATAGTAGTGCTCATATAGAGAAAAATCATGCCAAAGATAGAGAGCTCGGCGTTGCAATGCATCCTTTGAGTGTCGGAGTGTCAGTACCTCGAGCACATCAGCGCCCCATAGAAGATGACAACACAGAGCGCTAGCGTTCCACAATGTCGCAGAGCCAAATTGCTTAAAAGTCGCAGCAAGGGCAATTGTTGCAATTACAACCGAAGAGTCGCTCTGATTAATCAGAGTGTCGTGGCGCTCCGATTCATCAACGTCGCAGTGCTAATTCAATCCTAAGCGCCGCAACACTATGCTTATACAATGCCACAATATTGTGGTCATTAAGGGAAGTTACTTTGTGCTTAAGTATAAATAGATTTTTTTTTAGGGGGGGGCTGGCTTTTTAATACTGTACTCTTTTATGTTAGTAGATTAGGAGAAGGAATGAGAGAGTGTGTACAAGTGAACCAAAGGAGCTTTCATTGAGTAGAGGGGAAACTTGTAATCCTTGCAAAGAGATATGAGTTCTATCTTTACACCTTATTCTCTTGAACTTTCATCTTATTTATCAATGAAGTTTATAATTGTTCCTTATTTTAAAATAGAATATAGTGGCAAAGTTTCGTTCTTCTGAATTTATGATATGATATAGTGTTACATGTAATCTAAAGTAAGTCAATGATTTGATCATGCAAGAAAAGTGTTTCATGTTCTTCATGCTTCATTTAGTTGAGGACCGGCCAATCATAAATTTAAAATCAAGTATGATCAATGACCTTGACAGAGGCGTAATGGAAAAACTAGACAAGCATGAACATAAATCATGAAGGTATAGACATAAGACCTTCAAATTTTTGGGATCATCAAGGAGATATGTGTCATATAATGAAGCTTTGATTAATTAGTGATTCATCATACGTTCACTAGAATTCCAACGAGCTCAACGGAGACGAGGAATTATTCATGTTGTGGTCAATTGGTCCACAATTAAAAAATAATTGACCTATTTACATCTCACTTATTCTTGAAATCAATCATAAATTCAAACGTTTCTCATCAAGTAGAAATCCAAAAAATACTTTTTCAAATAATTTTTTTGCTTCCTTAAGAATTTGAATTGGCAAGATAAATTTATTGGTTCAGCGATTGGTATTTAACTTATAAGATCAGCATTTATGATTCCCCAAGGGAACAATACTTTCTCAATCATTATATTATTTGAATGACACGAGCACTTATGTTATAGGCTTATAGCGTAGTTGCAATAGCGCAGTCACTAAAGTAAAAAAAAATGAGCTTAAAGCTAATCCTTGATGTTATCCAAATAAAATGAGAAAATATATTATCAAACTATCTTGTGTTTGAACACAAGTAATAGTTACTTCATGCATATCCTTAATTATTTGAATATAAGCATTATCAATTCCTTTCTTTTCTAGAACTCTCTAAGCATATCTTGGAATTTTATCATATGTTTTATCTAAATTAATAAATATCATATGTAGATCTTCGCGACTCTCTTTGTACTTCTCCATTACCTCTCAACAAATGAATAGCTTCAATAATAGACCTATCCAACATGAATCCAAATTAATTTTGAGAAATATTAGTATCATATCGTAACCTATGCTCAATTACTCTCTCCCATAATTTTAATATATGACACATTAACTTAATTTATCTTATACATCACATTTATTCTTAAAAATAGAAAGAAGCACATTCCATCTCTACTCGTTTGGCATATTTTTAGTCTTCAAAATAATATTAAAAAGTTTAGTGGGCCAAGAAATTTCATAATCTCCTAGATACTTTCACACTTCTATTAAAATATCATCAAATCATAATGTCTTTCCACACTTCATTTTCTTTAAGTCTCTTCAACTTCAGTTTTACTAATATGACGATAAAAATAAAAATATCTATATTCATTTAAGGTGCTGAGTTCACTAAAGTCAATAGTATTCTCACAACTTTCATTAAAAGTTAATCGAAATATCTCATCCACCTGTGTTGAATATTCTCTTCTACGAAAACCAACTTTTTGTCTTCATCCTTAATGTGCTTCACTTGAACTAAATCTTTATGGCACACTTGCATGATCAACTACTCAAAACTCCGAGGTACAATAAAAAGGGTAGTCAAATCTTTATGGCACACTCGAATGGTTAAGTTCATATAGAGTTTTGATGCTTCACCAAATCTCAATAACCAAAAGATAGAATTTATATCCATATATTCTACCGGGAGATTTTTGAACTAGACGAAGGAAGGTCTAATCAACATGCTAATAAACAACATAATATTAAAAAAACACTTTTTTAAATAATTTTCCAAATATAAGAGCCAAAAATACCACTCCAGGAACTTTGGTAACACATATCCTATGTTATTTCCCAACTCCTAAAGCCTGATGTTACCATCTAGCCTAATGCTTGATTTCCCTCAATAGTTTATCTTCAAAATGTGCCTGACAGCGACCCAATTAGACTAAAATGTGCAGCGGAACCTAAAAAATAAATCGACAAGTTTATATTCACCTATTTTGAAATTTTCATCTTATACTACTATGAATATCCAAGAAGTAACTATAACCATAAAACTAGCCCAAAGTTTATTTTATCACATGTCAGAGCCCTTTCTATGCATTGAAACATGAATTCATATTACAAGAAGTAGGAACATGCAATATTGCATACAAATTACCGTAGTAAAGACTCCCCAATTCTATATTACCTACAAATTCCAAACTTAATGATACCATCTGTGCACTAAATTACAACACTGTTTAATCTTTGTTCAAGCTAAAATTCATAATTATCTTTACCAAATGAAAACATCCTGTACAAATGGATGCATCATCATCATTAGCCCTATATCAACTATTTAAAATCTGCTTTCTAATTCTTTATTTTTCAATCCTTCTTATTGAGTGTTGCTTGACGTTAAACTCACTCTAAACACATAATTTTAAACAACTTCACTCATGTTACAAAAGGCTACCTTTTTTTTCTTCATAATCCTCTCATTTATCAACTAATCTAAGGTATGCATTTTAAATCAATTGTTTTATATATCTAAATCACCTAAGTTTATTTTCAACTACCTTATATTAAATGGATGTCACTACAGCCTTTCATCTAATTTAATCACTCCTTAATTTACGAATTATGATTTTGCAATACATACATTTTAATAATATCATTTTCACAGCATTCAACTTATCAAAGTCTCTTTTATTGCCTTAAAATGCGGATTCATATAACAAGACCAACCTAATTGAAGTTTTATAAATTTTAGTTTTAAATCTCCAATCATATCCTCTTATCACATATAACTCCTCAAGCACCAGTCCATTTTAACAGAAAATTTTTTTAACACTAAATGTTATATGGCGATCTATATCCATTTTCTTCTATGCGAATCATCGCAGTCGAACCAAATAATACATGAAAATGGTTGAGAACAATATTAGATCAACAAACCATAAAACTTATGCCCAAAATACTGAAATGAACCCTGGAAAAACCGAAACAAACACTAAACAAAGCATCTTTGCATGCGTGAAGCGTATTCAAAATTAAAAAAGAAAGGAGTGCTGCAGTATAGTTCTCGCTCCATTTTAACATAACTGTTCAACAAGCAGCAATCAAGCATACTCTTTGCGCCTTGAAAACAAGCAAAAGGAACTCACTGGCATCGAACATTAGAGATTTAACTCGCATTACTAAAACCAGAGTCAGCCTAACACTCCCCAAACCTGAAGACAGCACAACCGAAGAACAATTCCCCCCGGAATTCCGGATCTAGGAAATTCGTACACTCCAATCCCCAGCCCCCGCAAAACACGAAACAAATCCAAACTAGTCGAGAAACAGAAAGCAGCTGCATACCCGGTTCCGTTGTCGATGACCACAGCGGGTCGAGAAGCGGCGTCCATTGTGTAATAAGAGGGATGTGGATCTGCCAGTGAGATCCGAGAGAGACCTTCTTCTAGGGCATCCGCACATCGTAGTGAGGAAGCGATCAGTGTCGGGCGAACGCGCAAGCGCGCGGTCTGGCGCCGAAGTCGTGCTGGTGAAGTCGGCGACTTGGACCGGAGGTTGGAGATGTCGGTGAATGAATCGGCGTGGATCGCAAGGGAAAGCAGCAGCTCAACGAGCAAGAGCCGATTCCATCCACCTCGCCGCAACCTTCTGGCGTCCGACCTGCGGCCGCAGCAGATCCCGATTATTGGTAGCTGGCGATTATTTTATTATATTTTGATCACGCCTATGTTTTCCTTTTAGAATTATAGGCTTTATAGCGGAAGTGCGAAATCCGACCCTGAATGGCATTAGATATCGTCATTCATTGCCGTTCCATCTGCCCAAAGCGTAAAAGAGACAAATGATTTGAATTGATGAAGAAAAATAATACCCATAAAAGATGAGATATTATTAGGCGATGCGACATATCTTGATTCGTCTCCGGACAGTTCAATGACCTCATAATAATCTCTCAAATTTGAATTATACACATAAATTTCTAATAAAAGAGAGCTACATTTTTTTATTTTGATGAGTTAAGTCAAATTCACATACTTCATATATATAATATTCGAATCTAAAACCTCTTAGGGTGCGTTTGGGACGACTACAGCTGCCGGTAAAATAGGTTGTGAAATTGCTGTATAGAAAGTTGCTTTCTGAAGTTGATTTATAGAAATCATTATATTTTGTTTGGATAGTATAACTGTAGAGCTGTTGTGCTGCAACTGCATGAGAACTAATTAGGTGAAAAAGGAAATAGTTTTTAATTCAAAATCGCATCTTGATGTTTGTTTTGGTTGTAATTCATAAGAAACTGATTAATTTTGACAGAAAATCAGAAAGCGAGCATATTTCTGACTGTCTCTCTCTGTGGTTAAACCCAATAAACAATTTAAATCAAATAGAGGCGAGAAGAACATCTATCAGTTTCTGTAGATTCTTCACTTTCTTAGTTATTCCTTCAAACCAAACAAAAAAAAAAAAATCTCCCAATTTCTTCTCAAACAAACAAGTGGTTGAAAAGTAGTTTTATTCGATTTCTTTATCATTTCCTATCTTTAAATTTCTTTAAGCCAAACAGAAACTAAATATAGACAAAGCAAAAAAGAAACAGTAAATCTCACCTCCTTCAACATCCTGAACGCTTCTTCCCCTTGCAACAACGCCCGCGATGATGCAGTCGGCAAGCAAGGTGACCAAATACGCCGCGCTAGCCAGCATGAATGTGAAAGGGTATTCCTTATCTGCCAAATCCTCAAAGGTTTCTTTCGCTTTCTTCAGCGCTTTTCTTCAGCAATGCTATTAGTTCGGCGCAGAGGAGGCGGTCGCCGCTCCGGCAAGCAGCGAAAATCTCCGCAAGCGTGTCGGAGACCTGGAGGGACGTGATAGGGGTCTTTGGCGTAGGGATGCGCTCGACGCCATGGGAGTAGTTGGCAACACACCAGTCTTGGATCATGCGCCGGATGGAGTGGTTGGGGGATGAGGAGTTGGTCGTCAAACTCGGCAGAAAGGAGGGTGACAGGGCAAGTGCGGTGGCCGGAGGAGAGCCAGAGTTCGATGGTGCGGCGGTCATAAGTGATGCCGGAGGGAAGAGTGACGGGGTCTTGCATAAGATCGAGTGAGATAGGGCATATGAAATGAGAGGGGATGGAGAGTGACGATAGGGAGTGTTTGGGTCGGCGGCGGAAGGGGAACATCGTCGTGGCTTTGAATGATCTCAAGGCCATAGGAAGAAGATGAAGTTGTGTACTGTGGATCAATGGAGGTAACGAGAAGAAGTGGAAGAAGAGTGCGGAGAAGGAGTGAACTGGCGGCGAGCCGCAACGGCTCCGTTGATCCCTGATCAAGCTTCGTTATGGAAGAAAACCAAAGGGTAGATAGAGAATAACTATAGGAGTTAAAAGCTCGGAACACTCTTCTACTCTCGCGGTGCATTTTTTCTGATGGATAGCGGAAAAGCAAAGAGCAGCGCGACAACCACGATAGCGAATATTTGCAGTGGGATTTACGTCATTTTTCTGACGAAAGCAGTGGACCGCGGTAGATAGCGAATGGTCGCGGGAAGCAACTACGAGCCGCGATTTTTTTCTGTCGTGATTCTGCCGCAATGTCCCAAACAATGATTTAATAACTTTTTATAAAGTGAAGCAGCAGTACTGCCGTCCCAAACGCACCCTTAATTGATAGTTAAAGCTTTCAACTGACTAACTAAAACAAACTACGTAGAGCAACATGATGTAAATGCTTCTTAGATTATTTATAAGATCGTTTTAATTTGATATTATATAACATTTGATTTAATATAGTTTTGGGAGTTTAGATATTAACTAAGAAATTTTGAATTTAAAGTTGCATATGTGATGTATTTGTGAGTTTGCATTTAATTCGCTCAAAAGTCTCAAAAAAGATCCTAACAATAAAGAGGAAGGTGTGACGAATATTGCAAGAAGTGAGGAAGACCTAACAAGATCTTCTTGGAAAGGAGCTTATTGCCATCCCACACCCTCCTATAAGTATAGAATTTCCTCCATCGAAGAAAATAAGAGTAAGAGGAAGTTGTGGTTGAATTTTGGCAAGAAGAGTGACGGAACATACGATGTGCTATTTTTGGTTGCCTCTTTCTTAATTCCTTCAGGATTTCATAATGCCCTCATTGTATGCAGCCTTCTACATGTAATAACCTCAAAATACTTTTCCCTAATTATGAAATTTGATTGGTTGAGCACCATGACGCTAGGTGGACAACGCAATGGGGTCAAGCTCTCCAGTTTTCTAAAACTTAAAGAAGCACTGCGACAATGAGTCTGGAGCATTGTGGCACTAAATTCGAAAGGTTTTTTTAATAACATATCTAAAACCATTAATAAAAATCCCCAAGCCACCCCATTCCACCCAATTTCCTTACTTAGCCTGTTAGACAAGTGAGAGAAGAAAGAAAAGAGAACTAAAAGGAGAGTAAAGAAGAGAGAGAATGAGAAAAGATGAGAGAAAATGCAGTTCGGGCTAATATTTTCATCACTCTGGCTGGGAAAAGTGTTGTAATCATGGTAGGCAACCTTAATCATTCCTTTATTTTTAATGATTTTGTGATTTGCTTGTTTTCCTTCCTCTTAAAATTGATAGAAATGTGGTGTATCTTATTTTAGTGACTTTCCACCGTGTAATTTTTTTATATGTCGTAGATATCATTATTCTAAGCATTTTAACTTGTTTATATTGAAATTTTAAGTGGTAACCTTTCTTATATGAATTTTTAATTTAAATGAGTGGTGTAATATTGAATAAAGAATGATTATGACTTAGTATATTACTTTTGAACATGAATTACATGATATACATACTTTCATTTCTTATTTAATTAAACATGCATTTTAGTATATTATAGGAATACCAATGAGTATAATAATATGATAATATGTATGATGTGAAATGTGTATGAAAGAAAAAAAAATTGTTTGGAAATAATTGACTAATTCATATTAGGGAATGATATCTTATCTTTGTACATGAGGGTAGGCCGACGAGCTTTCCTTTAAATAAGATTTTTAGTATAATCCTAAGTGATATGAAAAGGGAGATATGAGGAGACTGGCTGATATGATATGATATGATACGCCGATGGGAATGAAGTAACGACTTCTTACATGAAAGTCACCTCACTTGTGCTATATGATATAAGATTGGTTTCCTGAAACATGTCAAATATGATTGAGACTAATTATTATAGTGTTAGCTTACTACTCGCTTGCTTATCATGTTGTTATAGCTATTTTAGTTTTCTTCCATATTGAGTTTGACTAGGAGATTCTAAATCAAGAGGTTTTTCTCCGATTTATTCTTTTATTTATTGTTGTTTTCAAAGTATCTTTAAATTTTTCATTCACCATAATATCTTAAACTCTTATTTGGTTTCGTCATTATTGCCTTCTCTTCTGTACTTTAATCTTTATTGATTATCAGGCGAATGGATTTGATTTAGGTTCTTTTTATTCGTAAACATGGACGACTTTGGAGCTTAGTGAATATTCTTTTTCTATATATATATAACTTTCTAAGAAAAATTTAATTATCTACTAATTTATAATATCAAAAGTTTTCATTAGTAACTCATAATTTCTTAACATACAACATAGTTTTTATCACAAATGTGATAAAATTTAAATCATATTAATTTATTATTATAGTTACAATATTTCGTTATTAATTCTTCTATAAAAAAAACTCACCTTCAATAAAAAAATTTATTTTTATGTTGGAAAATTAATTATTTTCTTATCAAATAAATTATTTTCGTAATAGAAATATTATTTCAAACTTATTTTTGAGCTTGAGAAAATACAAAGAATCGAACACAAATCTGAATGGAATCCTACGTAGCTGATGGCTTGATGCGGCACCTATTTAAATGTGTATGTATTCTAAAAAAAAAGTGTTGCATTGTTCTGTATTTTTTTAATAAAGCAGTGGCAGATTATCTGATTTGATGAAAATGTTGAACGATTCATTAATATACGTCAAATAAAAGTCGGAAGGTCAATATACTGATCATTGTCAAACCAATTGAAATATCTACATTATTTTCAAATTTTGTAGGAAGAAATATTTATTGACCTTCCTACTTTTATTTGACGTATATTAATGAATCGTTTATCATATCATGGTTATTAAAAGTGAAGTAATTCCACATGAGTTACATCACTTTTAATAACCAGGATACGATAAGCAAGCCAAAACTTATTTGAAACATCATAACCGGTACATGGGCTACTTCATAGTTAGCTCATTACTTTTTAAATACATCAGACATAAACAAATTTTTTTTAAATACTAGCTACAATTGAACTACATTAGACTCTGAAGAGATAGACCATGGAACCTTGCATATATTCATAACAATTTTATATGACCATGGACCACTGGATGCTTCAAAATTCATCATTCATAGTCTCATACTTGAGAGTCATAGGCATCAGTGCAAGTTAACCAAACAGCATGGGCTTCATGATAAAGACAAAATGATTACAAATTCTGAAATTTACACATAAAACTGTTCTAAAATATTACATAAATAAAATTTCAACCATTGCTTGTCAAAGGTATAAACAAATAGCATTACACATACTTTCCTAACTAAATCATAAACAACCATGTCATCATCTCCTTCTCAGAATGATAACTGAATTTGATTCCTCTTACAAAAA